TGTGGATGGAAGGACCCTTGTTTCGTCACTATGTGAGTCCTAGAAAGATGAAAATCCTTCCATAGTGCCCTTAAGACTTAGACAATGTCATAAGAGGTTGATTTAGTGAGAGTTACTTTAGCTCATATCTTATAACCATGAATAATTTGACCTAATAAGTTGAGGACTAGGAAAGCGATCAAGTTAGACTTGATTGGCATATGGTTTGAAGGAAGATTAACCCAAAAATACTCTATAATGCTAGTGTTTGAGATATGTCCCTTTAAGATGTAATTGTAAGTGCAGGTAGTAAGTATATGAGAAGGTAGTTTGAGTTAAATAATTAACTCTAGAGGGATTAAATATGCATGAGTAATGTGTAGGGGTAAATTTAGGGTGCTTGAGGCAACTTGTACATGTAATGCAATTATGCAACAAGATGTCTTTATGTGCTGATCTTGTCATAGGACTTCTAAAGCATAAACATCCAAATCGAGGACATCATGCCCATCAAGTATGAAGTTAGAGAGATAGGATTTATACCATGGTAATCCATCAAGTGCAAATAGGAGATGTTGGAATTACATATCCACCCTTGATGCGAATGAAGCAATCATGTCAGAGTAATCAATGGATCCGACATTATTTCAATAATAATGAGTTGACCAAAATTAGGAATTAATGTGAGAATAATTTCTGATTGATTTCCCAAAAAAAAAATATTTCTCTGCAATAATGGTAATTATTCCAATCAATTTATTCCATCCATAATAAGTGAATTAATACAGATTAGATTTTTCTTTTCAAAGGTGGTTTCCCTTCACTGAAAATATATACAAGTGGTTGAAGGTAGAACTCACCCTAGAGCGAACAGTTCTCTAAATCCTCTTTCTTTCTTCAGTGCATCTGTTGTGCATTATAATCTAGATTCTAATAATCTAAACTTGTGTGGATGGTTAGTTAGGTTCTATTACGCCTAGATTTGATAAGTCTCTCATCTGACTCATTTATTTAATTTATTATTTATTTAATATTCCCTCAGTGCGTTCCAGTTAAATGCGCGGATGAGTTCAAAATATTAGCAGAAATTATAAATCGTCTAGGAAAAAATTGAAAAAGGTGAGTGGGATGCGAGATATATTACGTAATAATCACACGCTGGGCCTTGCGTGTTCCTCTCTGTTTCTGTCACAACTTCACTCAAGGTTTACTGCATAGGATCTTTAGAAAAATATCATGTGGCGTCATTAGGCTGTTTTAAACCCGTTGGGGCTTGCTTATTAAAGTCTGTGTGGGATTACGAGTAAAGTGGAATTTACATATATTATAATTATAATTATACATATAATAATTAATTAGCTCAACTGATATATAACTAATGTCATGAAACCTTGACAATGTTTTGAAAATCTGTCAATGCTTTTCACTAATGATCGGAAGACGTTTAAAGAGACTGCTAGAGCGAAAAGAATTATATAAGACATTAAATTTATAATAAACCAAGTTATTCAAGAATAATCAATATATCAAGGTTATATGGAGAATGGATCACGCAGGGGTGAGAGGGAAAGGTGTTGTCAACGTCAGAGTGGTTGAATGTTTTGTTGAAAACTAATATTTGTGGTGTGAAGGAAATGTCACTCTCGTCCCGGCAGTGCCACGGACGAAAGAATTGTGACTCATCAACCCTAATAATGAAATCCCCCCCTTGCCCCTTAATTAGTATGCCCACAGCAACCACACATACTTTCACTTTTCCAGCTCTCCCTCACAAAAACTCGCATATATGTTTAAGCATCACTCATCACTGCCACTCTCTCAAATTTTCTTTGGATTCCTTTCTCATCTTTCCCATGAAAAAGACCACTTCTGATCCACCTTCATTTTTTTTCTTTCTTTTGTTTAATCTTTATTTATCGCTCTCGACTTTTCCTTGAAGCTTAGCTTGTTTGTACTCTTCTCCCCCGACATGCCAAAAAGTTATCTCTTATGATCAGAAAGTGAGAGCTCCAACTGACACTATGACAGGTCGTGAGTTCAGTCCCACCAGCTTCAAAAGTTTAACTTGCCCTGTGTACTCAAAAATTGAAGACGCGCGAAAAGCTGGTAAAATTGTCACTTTCATACGAAAGAAGATATGTTAATCTCTAGTTTTGGCCAAACAAACAAACAAACAAACAAAAAGAAGCTCCATGAGAGTAAGACGCTGTTAAATTTCTTTTCAGGTTAGTTATTATGAGAGATCTAGACCTGGACAACGAATCATGCAACAGAAGTTGATTGTGGTGGTTTGGATTATCTAGAGGCAAAGAAAAATCACGCATTGACAGAAATCTAAGTATGTTAGCCTGATTGCCTGGCCAATTAGCAGTGGTCCATATATATAATTAACGGCCACATTGACATTAGTTGATCACATCTACAACATAGTAAATCATTGTAAACTATACAGATGAGACATTCAGAGCTAGCGGGGTGTGGGCAAACTGAAAACTGAGTAGCATTCAAGCTAGAGATATACCCACCAGCAGATCGATTCAGTAACATGTCGGTGTACAATTATTACTATTACATATTTATATATAATAATTGATTACAAATAAAGGAATCGGATGCACACGTCTATGTACGCTTATTTAATTATTGCAACTCTGCTCAGCTGCTGTCCTATAAACAATACATATTTTCATATTAATTTATATCTTTAAATGTCTTTCATTATTTGGCAAGATTTTTTTGGCTTCAATTTTAAAAGGAACGTATTTGAGTCATAATAATTTCAAAATTATAAACGCACGTCGGTGCGAATCTGGGTAATTTCTTTGTGTTGAGTCTGGATATTCATAATTTCATTATGCAGAGATCCGGCTACTGAGGCAGGTGAACTAGACTATGCAAATTCTGGAAACAGGCTCTCACGTCAGACTTCTCAGTTACTGGGCCGAGACACTGGGCTGGACTCTTGGACTTGTTGTTGAGAAGTAATAGAAGTGTCGATTTTTTGAACTTATTTTTTAAAAATTCCCTTGTGTTTTGACAGTCACGTGTGACTATGAGTTCGTCTTTAGAAAAGGTGCTTTGAGGCAATTTATTAGTCAATGGCGACATTATTTCTCGACAAAGATGTTTTCAAAGAGTAGATGCGTATTTATATCAAAAAGGCCTCTTTTTTAAGTATTTGCTAAAAGCTATGAGAGACAAGACAAATAAATTAAAAAATATCGTATATATTATTAGTTTGAAGGGTACATTATATGCACCATAAAATTAGATAATACAATAATGACTAATAATTATATAATAATATTTAATAATATTTAATTATATAATAATATTAAATAATTTTTTAAAAAATAATTGAGAAATATGCACAATAATAATAGAAAATACTTGAATTTTCTAGATAACATTTATGATTGTGAAAGATAAAATATTCTGACATGTTAATTTAATGTTAAATTTTTATATTGGTGGTTAGCATAGGGCGGTTGATTAAAAGGAACATGATAAAGAGAAACCACAGTAGAAAATTGATTAAGTTTAAAGATGGCAAATTGATAAAAATTATAAAGAAGATCCGGGGTCAGCAGAGATGCAGACAAAAATAGCCTCAGATTAAAACAACCAAAATAGATGATAATGCGAAGCTTAATTACTAACTGTAAAGTATGAGCTGTAAATATTAGAAAAATTACGTCAAACAATTTGACTAACAGATGCATCGACAGATTTACTTATAATCTTCCGTCTCAATGGTTGAAACCTTAGTTTTAGATTTTCAAATTTAATTTGAGTTGTAAATATGTCAGAAAGTTTAAGCCAAAAACACTGCAACCTAGCACAAATTTTTTCTTAATACAAGGCTATGGTTAAATCATGCAAAAGAAAATAATTATGACATGCCTAAATTTATAAAATTACAGCACCTAGGGAAGGATCATTAAAAATCCTAATATCAAGATTGACATTATGAGCCAAATGAGCAAACCAATGTGTGCATTGATTAAATTATATAAACATGCCTTGGTACAAATCAATTATCCAATCTTTTATGATTAGGTCTCTCATCTTCTCTATAATTTTAATTAGCGGATGGTTTATGTAAAATCGTGTTAAATAAGAGTACATGAAAGTTTTAAGAAAATCAAAATTTGAAACATGAAAAAAATATATTGTTTTAAGTTTCAATGAATTTGGATTTTTCTTTTGTATTAAAGAGACAGATTAAAGCCTTGACAAAAGAGTCTTACATCAGTTTATTAGACCAATAAAGGTCGGTGCATTCCATTAAAGGTTAATACTTTTGAGCATCTTTAGCAAACCAGTCTGCTAATTGAATCAGCTCCCTATCGGAGTACAAGAGCTCTACATCCCAGTCCCAGAATAATAATTTCCTCGCCTCATGAATATCCTCCCGCATAGGATGATTTAAATCTCCTCCAGTTTTGAGTAGTTGGAGGCCCTTAAGTGATTCCATATAACACTTAACTCTTGTTATCTGAACTTGTTTGCACAAAGAAAGACCCATTTTCAAATATAACAATTCTGCAGCAACGATTTTGCATTTTCAATCGGCATCATGGCAGCTTCATTAGAAAGCCTTGTTCCACTGTTTCTTTCGTTCTGCATTTTCAACTGAAAAACTAGCTTCACATATATCGGCGTCTCATTTCAGCTCGAGGCCGTACCAATGATTGTTCGATCCATTAGGAAACTCGTATGCTCTGATGTTCATATAATTTTTTGTGATCATAATATTTATACAGATAATTTGCAGCATTACAGGAGACCCAGCTATAATAAAAAGGGTTGAACGAGTGGATTTCAACGGAACCAACTTGAGTGGATTTCAACGGAACCTATGATTGACTCTAGCCATTGCCTATGACTCAACGTTATTACCAAATATTTTGTACGAATGGGCTCGTCTTTCCCCTTCTTTTTGGGCCAAGTATGGGCCCATTTCAATGAGGTTCATGTCCGGCTTCATTTTTTTCTTGGTTTCGCAAATACAATGTAATATAAAAACGAATGCAGAATAATGTTGTAAGAAGCATACAATTAACTGTGACCCAAAAACTAATGCAGAATAATGTTGTAAGAAGCATACAATTAACTGTGACCCAAAACTAAGTTTGAGATGGACACAGCTATCTTACCTTGGTACAATATCTATCACTTAGTCCGGTCATATTTACAAGATAATATCCATCCATTATTTTCTTTGATTTAAAATATAAACATTTTTTTCAACTAATTTTAATTCAAAATATAAATAACATAATATATGCAATAAAATTTTCTCATTTTATCCCTTTGTTTATCAACTTAAATCTTTATATACATTTATTTCTCACTCATCATGAAGTGTACTCAGAATTGGGATTAAAGATAAAAAGATAAAACAATACTTATTTTTATAAGAATGATGATTTTATTGATATGCTATTTTTTTAACAAAAAAATGTTTATATTTTATACTAGATGAGTAATTAAAAACAAAAAATTATTTGTAAAATCTAGAAAAAACATTTATCACTTATTCTCAAAAATTACCAATATCACTTTTACTCTTAATTTAAATAATGTTTTAAATTCGGTTAAATTTAAATTTAACTAATATTTTTTAGAAAAGTAACTGAAGCAGGAGAGCGTCCAATTAGCATCAACCGAAGGGTGGGGCAAATAAAAAAAATGAAGAACCCCTGACCCGCCCAACGTACGAAGACCGGGAAGCTTGTGGTAACCACAAAGACGAAGGGCAAACCAAGCCGAAACGGATTCCCCACACTGTCCCCCTGCGATATTTGACTTCCGTCCCGTTCTTTTGGCCGGAAATCTTTTGCATTTAGGGATCACCCAAAAGTCAGCGCTTCCGAAAACTCAATAGGCATGGCGGATTCAAGGGTGGAGACCATATCAAGGCTAGCCCAATGGAAGATTGACAATTTTGGACCTTGCTCCTACAAGAAATCCGATCCTTTCAAGGTCGGAATCTGGAACTGGTATTCCTCTCCCCCCCCCCACCCAACCCGCCACCTGAACAATATCTAGATTACGCGTGATTGAGCTTGAAACATGTTCAATTGGCATCTTCAGGTATTTATCTATAGAGAGGAATAGGTACCTGTACATACATCTATTTCCTGAGCCTTCCCGGGCTTCTAAGGAACACCCACCCATTGCTCGATTCATTCTCCGAGTTTCTAATACTGGCTCTTCCCGCAGATTCTACATTTCTCCTGGTATCTATCGACGCTTGATTCTACTGTTTATGATCATACAAGATACTGGGTATTTTCTGAATCGTAGCTTTATGTGTCTAAATTGGGGAACTATACTTTTATAAGCAGCATGGGAAACATTTTCTCCCGTGTTTTGGGAGGTTGGAGAGTCGTGTACGATGTTGATCCTTATCTTCTTATCCTTCTTTTGCATACTGAGAAGTTTTGAAAAATTTGCGCCTCACAGAAGTGACAGTTTGTCCTGTTTTACTTTCCTTTTGGCGGTTACCATGCACGTTTGATTGATCCAACATACAATTGTTTTGAAGCCAAAAGCCTACTATAGCTCTAGGAAACGAGACATGAATTCCTGACTAATGATCAAGCCACCAGTTGACCGGCACATAAAGCAGTACATCTGTATCTATAATCATAATAGGCAGTAGTACCAACTTTTGAAGGGCTTAAATGCTATAGATCATAACGTTGGTTTAATTTAATGACTAAAGACTGAAGTCAACTCTATCTTTCTACAGCTTCTCAGTTCTATTATCTTTCTCTTGTTTGCCGGAACTTGTCTTCTTGTTGTTGGCCTAATGTTTGGCTCCTGATCTTTTGTTCCCAGTTGTTATGACAAAATATCAAGCATCGAGGTTTGTAATTTCAAATAATCCAAGTGGGTAGCATAGCACAATTACAGTGTCTTTCATCTGAAACAAAACGAGGCTTAATTTTGTTTATAATGTCCACAAAAGAACAATGCAGTAAAACCTTTGCTTTGCCTATTGTTGACCCATCAAGCCGCTGCAATTGGCATTCACCAGCGTTGAAAATACAATTAAATGTAGCACTTTCTGGATTATGTTGTGTAATGGCGACACAGTTTGTGTCTTCACTTGTGTGTGCTTGCATGCCACAGTTCATGAACGACTGCTCAGAACATGTGATGACTTTGTCTGGCCTGTTGATACCTCATTTGTTGGTCGCTTCATTATTGATGTTGAATTCCTTGACCTGAAGATCTGTCCTTTGAATGTAAGTTCCTGTGCTTTTTAAATTTATTATTATGAAATTGATGCAAGCGAAACAGTTTTTAGAGAAATATGCGGCAGTTGTTTTTCTGACCAAGATGCATAAAATATAATTTATGGCTACTCTTCTGACACCTGAACCGGTTTAAATCTTGCTTGTTAACTATTTTATAATCCTCACAATTCAGGGTGGAGAAGCTAGTTCTATATGGCCGTCTGATGGAAAATTGCAATCTGTTGCTGCGCAAAGTACCCTCCAATGCCTCTCTCGCATGCTTGATGAGGGCATACATGCTGATCTCACCATTAACACCGCAGATGGTACATTGAGAGCTCACAAGGCAGTTTTATCTGCAAGTTCTCCTGTGTTTCAGAGCATGTTTCATCACAACCTGAAGGAAAAAGAATCATCTACCATCCACATAGAAGACATGTCTCTAGAATCTTGTATGGCTCTACTAAGTTACTTATATGGCACAATAAAGCAAGAAGATTTCTGGAAGCACCGGCTTGCGTTGCTTGGAGCAGCCAATAAATATGACATTACTGGTCTTAAAGACACCTGCGAGGAAAGCTTATTGGAAGATCTCAACTCAGGAAATGTCCTTGAGAGGCTACACGAGGCATGGCTTTATCAGCTGCACAAGTTAAAGAAAGGGTGCTTGACGTTCCTATTTGATTTTGGTAAGATATATGACGTTAGAGAAGAAATGAATAACTTCTTCAGGCATGCAGATAGGGAGCTGATGATTGAGATGTTTCAGGAGGTGCTTACAATTTGGAAACCAGTATAGAACCTATAGGTTGCCAAAATCATTGTATAGCCTTTATACTTACATACCTATGCACGACTGTTTTGAGGATTTATTGACTGCTGTATTACATTATGCATAATGCTTAACTGTTGTCTGATTTCCCAGTCCTTGGAATGACAAATGGGGTGTATTGCAGAAGATCTGCCACGTATTAATGCGACGGAACAGCCAGTAGCTAGTTACCCTGATCCCAAAGAGCATCATTAACTCTCCAATCTCCATGCCATAGCCTGTACCTTATAGCATGTTACAAACTTTTTTTAATATTTTTATTATTATTCTCAGTGCTTTTTGTATCCTCTTCAAGCTTAAATATTTTTAGATATATGAGGATCATCATTTTAGTCGTCACTTAACCCTTCCTCCTTTTTTCTTCTTCCCTACTTTTAACATAATTATAATTTTATAAGATGTATGTCTTATTCATGAAATTTGTATATAAAATGTAACATAATTTATTATTACTTATATTAAATTATTTATGAAATAGGAATATGTTATATAAAATTTACGAATAACAAATAAGAGAAACATTGCAATTTTTAAACTTGGATGGGGAAAGGGATGTGGCAGTTGAAATTGGGGGAGGGCAATTAAAAAAAGAGAATATAGTTATGTTTTAAAAATTGAAGCAATAACAGTTAGTTTTTTCATAAAATTTTCTAGAATTTATGCTTATAAGTATCTAAATTAATGTTTCGAATCCTTTCTTAAAAATATTTGATTGAAGACTTATTGTTATTAATTCAATCTTTTATACTTAACTATCATTTTTTTATTAAAAAAGAGGTGGATCGTAGGAGTGCTGTAGAACCTTTTTTTTTTCATTCAAAAAAGTAAAACAAATTATTGGAATAAGCTTGGTTGAAACCGAGTTCAATGAGAAATTAATTTTGCAGGTTGAATTTTGTATATCATATTGGTAAATTAATTTAAATTTATGGCATTGTGGTATGTATATATTTTGTTTTAATTTTTGATTTGTAGTGGTATCCCAGTGAGTCAATTTGCCTCGATAGCCCTCGTTCTGGCGCTCACGTTGCTATTCGCTCGCTTCCTATCCTTCTCTTCTCTCCCTCTCCCTCTCCCTCTCCCCCTTTTTCTTCTCAATCTTCCCGGGAAAGTCGCGAACCAGCCTCACCCTGCTGGTCGTCATGGCTTCAGGTATGATGACACCTGAAGTTGAACCTCCTCACTTCAATCATGGTGTTCTTTTCGGGACTTTCCTGCTTCGATGTTCTAGATTCTTAATTTAAGCCATACCCTTACATGATTGATAATGCATATTATCATGATTTCTAATTTCTAATTTCATTTCTGGGACCCATTCACGGCTTATAAATTTTGCGATTGATAGAAATTGAACTTAACGAAGAACAAGATCAATTCTCGAGCTGAATGCGCATTTAATGCAATTTGTTCGTGTTGAGGGAGGGCGCTCTAAATTTCGTGTGCCATGTTATATTATCTATAAATTTTGATTGGATGGTTCTATTTGGACGAATTATTGGCTTGTCTATCCGACTCTAAATTGCAAGAATTTCACAACGACCGCCTCGCCCGTTGAAGCGTATCTTCGTCTTTTGACAAAATATGTTGGTGATAGGATATCACTTCGCGAGTGTTAGGTTCATTTTAAATCGTAAAAAGACCCAAGGGGATCGGATATTGTGCCTTGATGGACAAGATCACTTATTGTCTGGGGATATTTATTTTCTAAATTTAGTAATAGCTGCACCTGAAACTAGAATTATAGGGCACCCAAGTTACGAGCGACTAATAACAATGGGTATAATGGACTCGTAACCATAAGAAAATGCACAACTTCATGATCAAGACTAACTACTCAAAAGACTTTGTCTAGATTAAGTGATGTTTGGCATATGCATCATGTTCATATTTCCAAGTTTCAATTTGAGCCACCCAAACATTAAGGCTAGTCAAATTCCTCCGTATTTTTATCAACATCCATTTATTTCTAATAGCTATTTGTCATGCAGATCTTGCAGTAACGGTTCCCCAAGAACTGGAATCTGCTTCAAGGCTGAAGACTGTTGAGTACTTTGTTACAAGAAGGCCCTGGCTTGGTATGTTTCGTTTAACTCATGCTGCCACATCTGTTGTTTTAGTTCTTGTGCTGTCTTGCTGCATTTGTCTGGTTCAAGTTCGTTCTTATTTTTTCCAGGCATTCTGTTTCAGATCTTTATGGAGTTAACGTGAGACCTGTTGCACCAGTTGGAAGTACAAGTAGAAAGCCTTATGTGGATTCTGCACTTATACATTGTCGCTTACCTGATGAAATGCTCTGTGAGGTATTTCATATGAAGAAAAGAAGTTCATGTCATTACTGAAAAATGTCAATGGGTATATTTTATCTGATAACTTTTCAATGCCTTTTGTGGTTCAAAATGCTCTATATCCTTTATTCAAACAATAAACCCAATATTTTTTACTATTCTACCCGATATACCCCTTATAAAAGACACTAAATATTTACAATAATTACAATTCTATCCACACTCTCTCTCAAGTTGGATCATAGATGTTAATCATATCCAACTTACTTATACAGTTAAAGGCTGGCCCATGAAGTCCTTTTGCAAAACATCGCAACCTATAGTGTGGTTGGCAAATATATGAGACAGATGGTTCCCTCTTCCACTTTTTCTCTTATAAAGTGCCTATCTATCACCTCATGCTTGGATCTTTCATGTTGTACAGGATTGAAAGCCATATTGATAGCTGCCTTCTTGTCACAATAAAGCTTTAGTGGGGATTCCACCTTGACCTGTATTTCATCCATTATACGCCTTAACCACAATTCTTCCTTTATTCCTTGAGCTAAGACCCACAGTTCAAATTCAGCACTACTCTTGGAGACCACCCTTTGTTTTTGACTCTTCTAGGTTACCAAATTTCCCATATAAATGAACAATAACCAGATGTGGATCTTCTATTTGCATGAGTTCCTCCCCTCTCTACGTCTGTATAGATTTCTATAGTTCTTTGTTCTGTCCTTTTAAAAAACAACCCTTTACCAGGTGTCCCTTTTAGATATTTGAGAATTCTTTATGCTGCTTTCATGAGTTTCTTCCTTGGATCACACATATATTGATTGTCTACACTAACCGCAAAGGCTATATTAGGTCTAGTATGAGAAAGATATATTAGTTTTCCTACCAATCTTTGGTACCTGTCTTTGTCAACTGGTTCATCATTTTCTTCTTCATCTTCATCATTTGAGACATCTTCCCTTTCATCTAGTTCATCCTTCTTGAGTGTCTTCTTTTTCTTCTTCACAACAATTGGTTTGTCTATCGGTTTACAGCCCAGCATTCCAGTTTCTGTTAAAAGATCCAGAATGTAGTTTCTTTGAGATGTATAGATCCCTTTCCTGGACCTTGCAACTTCCATTCCCAGGAAATGTTTTAGTTTCCCGAGATCTTGAACTTCAAATTCTCTTCCAAGAGCTGCCTTAACTCTAGTAATTTCTTCCTCACGATCTCCTGTAATGATTATATCATCAACACATACGATAAGAATACATCTCTTACCATTCTCATTTTTAACAAACATTGTGTGATTATAAATGCATTGCTTGTAGCCTTCAATCTTCAAAACCTTAGAGAATCTGTCACACCATGCTCTTGAAGATTGCTTCAAGCGCAGAGTGATTTCTTGAGTCTGCAAACCTGTCCAACTTTCTCTTCTTCAAATCCTAGGGGTAAAGACATATATACTTCCTCTTTCAATTCTCCATTTAGGAAAGCATTTTTAATGTCTAATTGATAGAGCTGCCAATCAAGATTCCCTACAATCGATAATAACACTCTAATGGTGTTTAATTTAGCTACAGGGGCAAACCTTTCTTTATAATCCAAACCATAAGTTTGTGTAAATCCCCTTGCAACCAATCTAACTTTCAGTTTGTCTAGATTACCATTGGCATCATACTTAGGAGTAAACACCCACTTGAGTCCAACCACTTTCTTTCCTTTAGGCAGGTCTACAATTTCCCATGTGTCATTTTTCTTCAAGGCTTTCATTTCTTCCATGACTGCACTTCTCCACCCAGGCATCTTTAGTGCTTCATGTATATTATTGGGAACTTTCACCCTGTCAACATTAGTAATAAATGTGCTGTACCATGGAGAAAGAGCATTATAACACGCATACTTCTTTATAGGGTGTTGGGTACAAGATCTAGGTTGCTTTCTTATAGCAATTGGTAGATCTAGATCATTTATGAATGTCTCTTCACATGTCTCCACCTCAACAGCTCCCTCATCAGGTTTCACTTGGTTGGCTTTAGGAACTTTGATCGAGTTTGATTCTGGAAGTGCATAGGGCATGATGGTGCTATTATCACATTTCCTCTTTCGTTCATAAATCAGTGTATAATCTTTGTTTCTACCTATTGAGACAGAAGGAGTTTGGGTTTCGAGTAACATAACAGGTTCAGGAACTCTCTCCCCCTCACTTTACAAAAATTGATATTCATCATTCCACTTTCCCTGAAGTGAAGGTTTTGGAAAAAACGGCTCATGTTCAACAAAGTTAACATCAAGGTTGGTGTAGAGGCGCTTAGTGGTAGGGTCATAGCATCAATATCCCTTTTATGAAGGAGAATACAACAACAACAACAACAAGCCTTTATCCCACTAGGTGGGGTCGGCTACATGGATTGCAAGACGCCATTGTGCTCTATCATTTATTAAGCTTTTAGAAATATTATTAATTAAGAGATCACGTTCAACAACTTCCAAGAGTGTTCTCTTAGGCCTTCCTCTACCTCTCTTAATCGGACTCAAAGTTATATGTTCCACTCTTCTCACTGGTGCCTCCCTTGGTCTTCTTTGTACATGCCCAAACCATCTCAACCGATTTTCTACCATTTTTTCCTCAATAGGTGCCACCCTCACTTTTTCACGTATGTGCTCATTTCGAATTTTATCTTTACGTGTATGTCCGCACATCCATCGTAACATTCTCATCTCTGCTACTCCAACTTTATGCTCTTGCTGTCCCGTTAGAGCCCAGCATTCACTACTATATAACATTGCCGGTCTGATAGCAGTACGATAAAACTTTCCTTTAAGTTTATTAGGCACCTTACGGTCACAAATAACTCCTTTAGCTTTTCTCCAATTAAACCACCCAGCTTGAATTCTATGCGAAATATCTCCACTGATTTCGCCATCATTTTGAATAATGGCTCCCAAATATCTAAACTTTTCCACTTGAGGTATGATTTGATCTCCCAATTTCACTTCCAAATTATTTTCGAATAGTCTTTTACCAAATTTACAATATAAATATTCCGTCTTACTTCTACTCAGACGAAAACCTTTCGACTCCAATGTCCTCCTCCATAACTCAAGTTTGCAATTAACCTTTTATGAAGGAGAATAACCTAAGAAAATACATTTGACTGGATGGGGATCAAGTTTGGAGGGATATGAAGTATGAACAAAAGATGTGCAGTCAAAGACTTTGAGAGGAACGGAAGAATTGAGGTGGGTTAAGTTAAGAGATTCCTTGAGTTTGTCAAGTGGAGTAGAGAAGGAGAGGACCCGACTTGGCATTATATTAATAAGATAAGTGGCGGTGAGAATAGCATCCCCTTAGAAATACTTAGGAACATTAGAAGTAAACATTAAGGCTCAAGCGAGCTTAAGAAGGTGTTGGTTTTTCCTTTCAGCAATCCCATTTTAAGACAAGTACTCTTGTGGAGGATGCCATTATTTGAGGAAAAAATCCATTTGGTTATTAAAGTACTCAGTGCCATTATCAGTGTGGATAATTTGAATAGAGGTATGGAATTGATTTTTGATCATGGTATAAAATTCAATGAAAACAGAAGAGACATTACTTTTTTCCTTTAAAAGATAGACCTAACAAAGTCTAGTATGATCATTGATGAATGTGATAAATCATTTAGAATGTGTTCGATTTGGAATTTGTGATGGACCGCATAAGTCACTATGAACAATTGAGAAGGGATGTATTCAGATTGAGGAAAAAAAGTTTGGTGATGTTTGGCTAATTCACTCATTACAATGAAAAGACGTCATTTTATTAGAACAAAGTGCAAGAAACAGATGAGACAAATATTGAAAATTTGGGTGACTCATTCTCCTATGGCACAACATAATATCCATATTGGATTTATTCTTAGAGGTATAAACTAAATTGCATTGAATGCAAGACCATAGGTTAGTCACGGTTGATCCATCTAGATAATAGAGACCATCATATTCCTTAACACTACCAATCATTTTCCCCGATAAAAGGTCCTGAAACATACAATGAGCAGAACAGAAATGAGCACAACAGTTTGCATGTTTTGTAATCTTACTAATGGATAGTAGGTTACATGCTAAATAGGGAACATGTAAAACAGACTCTAACTTCATATGATCAGATGTAATCATGCTGCCCTTGCTAGCTATAGGAGAGGATGATCCATTTGCTGTGTTTAGTTTTTCATTTCCCGCACAAGGTGTATATGTACTGAATAACTTAAAATCACACATCATGTGGTCTGATGCTCTAGAATTCACTATCCATTTGAAATTATTTGAGGTAGAAAGGAAAGCACATGTACCTTTGTGAGCTACAAAAGCAATAGGATTAGATTTTTGAGATGAATTAGTCTTTTGTAAGACACTTAACATCTCTTGAAGTTTACTTAGTTGCTCTTGGTCCACATGAGATGCGATAGATGACTTAGAACATTCTTGGGAACTGTCATTAGATGCTTAATAGCCACGAGACTCTCCTCGCCTTGGTTTCCAATCCAGTGGTTTCCCATGAAGATCCCAACATACATCCCTGGTGTGTCCTTGCTTCTTATAGTGTTCGCAGGTCACCTTTCCTTTCTTGCCCTTTAGATTAGTATCATTACTACGACTAACCAATGCAGAAGGTTCGGAGGGTGAAGTTGGAGTAGGGAGAGACTCTGGCAACATTAGCTTGCATCTAGATGCTTCACGACGTATCTCTGAGAAGAGTTCCTAAGTGGACAGAAGAGGTAATCTACTCAAGATTCTATTTCTAACATCGTCCAATGATGACTTTAGTTCAGCTAGAAATTGGAAGACCTGTTCATGCTCAATCTTCTCCTTGTATTTTATTGCATCACTTGGGTCTTTCCATTCCTCATCAGACATGAGGTCAAGCTCCTGCCATATTGCTGACATCTAGTGCCAATACTCAGTTTCAGTGCGTTCCTTTTGTTTCAATGACTAAGCCTTTGTCTTTAACTCATATAATTGTGCGAGGTCCTCACCATTAGGATATGAGTCATGAACTGCGACCCAAATATCTGTTGTAGTGGGTAAAAACATGAAGCTTCACTTGATTTCGGGAATCATAGCATTAATAAGCCAAGAAAAGACTAGTGAATTGTTTGTATGCCACTGGGTGAAGGCCTGCAACTCTGTTTCATTGGGCATTTTTGTAGCTCCAGTGAGAAAATTCATCTTGCCTCTACCACCGATTGCTAACTTGATAGCTTGTGCCCATTCACGATAGTTTGACCCATTCAACTTGTCGGTCACGATCAGTATTGAAGACCCTTCGAAGCTAGTAGTCGACGTATGGGGACCACCAGCTTTACTCGGATCTCTTGATGAGGAGTCCACAGTCTTGGACATCGGGTCTATTGTTGAACCCTTCAACTGTGGAGAACTCGACTTGTCTGAGGTACCTTCATTGTTAGAGTTGCTGCCGAAGTCGTGAAAGGGAACCGGCTCTGATGCCATGTGGTTCAAAATGCTCTACATCCTTTATTCATCAAGTCAAGAAATATATACAAGCTTGGGAATCAATCTAATCCCATAAACCAAGCCGAGGATATCGAAAAAGAATAAAAAACAATAAAACCAATATCTTTGACTATTCTACCTGATATTTCCCTCATAAAAGACACTAAATATTTACAACAATTACAATTCTATCCACACCTTTAAATGCTGAACCAACATTATTTTACACTTCTGCCATCTGTTGCCAGAATGGACTGAAACAATCTGCTTCTGCTCTCCTGTTTGCTTTAATTTCATTTTATCTTTACTTAAACTTGTGTGGTAATGTCATATTCTTGACTCTGATGGAGAGGCAGGAAGGGGGTACCATGTCTTCTGCGGAACTAGCAAAATGTACTGATAGGCCATGTTTCTAAAATTATGTCAAACTGCTTTAAACAAAAATCAACTACTTTTTGGAATAGGCTGTGTGAATTTCTTGGACTGTTCATATCTCTAACCTGGAAAATGAAGTACTTTTCACCTCTAAGTCCTTGAATTTGAGTACTTTTTTTTTCCTTAGAAAAAGTGGTGTGAAAAGACTCTTGATAACCAACTTGGTAGTGCTTCTTGAGTTGTCTTCAGTCCTTGAGTTGATAGAAAAAACTGTTCTTAAAGTAGGCCCTAGAACTTTCAATCTATTTGAAACATGTGTCCACAACTCCTTAGGCTTTTCCAGTGATTTCTGAACAAATTAGAGTGAGAATTTATTGATAGAAAGGTATGCAGCTGTGCCCCAGAGAAAACTCTGATGCATATATATTCTTTATAAGGTATTTGCCCGGATGAATCCATATGACTTGGGAAGGGCATCTTGTGTCTGTCGAAAATGGTGGTACACAATTCGTAACCCTGTATACTGGCGCACTGCTTGCTTGAAGGCTTGGCAGGTAAACTCAGTAAAGGGGTTACCTTTTACATCTCACTGCATATAAATTGATAGTTTCTAAACTTGGAGCCACTTGTATGAAGATCTCTGGACTGGTTGAAAACTACAAGATCTTGCATTCTAAGTATGAGAGTTCATGGCGGAAAATGTGGCTCCTAAGACCAAGGTTGCGAACTGATGGTAAAATCAGCAATCTTTTATTTCATAATCTTACTCTGTACTCCTTACATTGACCAATTGCATGAAGTGGTTCAATTTAATTTTGTGTAATTTCAAGGAAGGAGATTCATGCTTTTACCCCCTTTCCCTTTTTTCTTACGGGTGACTTCTTTGGGCCCCTCATTTCAGGTCTTTATGTTAGTAGGAATAGTTACATTCGAGTTGGAGTTGCTGAGTGGAAGACCACTAATCCAGTCCATTTGGTAGGATATTTTTTCAGATGCTGGCTATATATATATATATATATATTTGTATGGATTTTCTTCTACTTTTGTGGACATCCTGTTTTTCATTTGCCAACAACTATTTTGACTGAATGTAGATTTAAGTATGCAGCGTCCAATGCATAATGTTTCTTTTTGGAAACCTTTCTATACGAGTTTTACAATGTGCATTTTCGTTGAACAACTGCTGTAACTCTCTGAAGTTCACTGCATAACTTCTGAGCAATATGGTAGCCCTTGTGTTATTGACTTTTAAAGTTTTGTCTTTTAAGATAAATAAAAATAAAAAAGATGCAACAAACCTCAAAAGGCAAACTATAGTTCCGTGTACCCTCAGGATCAGGACCCTGTAGGATAGGTATAAAGTAATAGTTCTTTGAAAGATAGTTTGTTGGTCTTACAACTTTAAGTAGGGATTTTATATAGGGTTAAAGCACTAATTTGCCTTTGAACTTTACTTTTTTTAGGAGCGCTAGGCATCCTAAAGTTAAAGGTGGTGCAATATTACCCTTCATGTATTAAAAAACAAAACAATGTTGCCTCTCTATTAAATATCCATTAATTTGACTGTTAGTTGACCTAACAAATTATAGGGAATGAACTAGAAAATTATAAAAAATGACTCAAAAAATTACAAACAGGACCTTGTAAGAAAATTAATATTGATTAAATCCCTTAAATTACAAACAAATTCCAATAGACTAATTTTATTTATAAAAGACCAATTGGACTGGCTATTAGGTGATTATCATATCACTATTACTAGCAACAACATGCATAAGTAATTAAAAATATTATTTTTTAAATAACATCTTTTTAAAATATTAATACTTTAATATTTAATAATTTACATATTATTCTTACTATTTACAAATCTTCACGCATAATTTATAAGCAAACTTTTGAGATAAATAAATTTTTGCAAGAGGATTTGTTAATTTTGGAGGAAGACTTATAATTTATTATATTATTTTAATTTACAAATCACTTATAACTTTTAGAAAAACTAGTTGAGCTATTAATATTTACTCCCTTCATTCAAAAATGTAAGGTATTTTTAACCAAATTTCACCCCCTAATAAAGTAGTTACTTGTTTTCAAGCTAACTCTATCTTTTCATTTTTACACCTATTTAATATGGTGTTTTATCCACAAATAAATATAAAGTAATTTATTCAATAGGGGCACTTTTGAAAAAAAATGCAATGATTACTCCTTGAAATATTAAAAATGCCATACATTTTTTAATACCTAACCCCTTAAAAAATGTCTTATATTTTTTAATAGAAGGAGTAAAAGACAAATTTTAAATTTTGGATAAATATTTATAAATAATATTATTTTAATTATTAAATATTAAAATATTTAATATTTTAACTGGATTTTATTGGAGCAAATGTTATATTTTTTAATTACTTATCGGTATTTTCAACATTGGTGACCTGATAAGCACCTTGTTGTCGGTCAAATTGGTTGATTAAAATGATATTTTCATATTTTATGTGGGTAAGAACTAAGAAATAACATTAGGCTATTAGAATTTTTTTATAATTTAACGGACTTAATCAGTATTAATTTTCTTATAAGGACAAGGTTGTTTTCAATAATTTTTTTTGGATCAACTAATGGTCAGATTAACAGATATTTAAGGGAGCAGTGATATTGCTCCATTTTTTAATATATGAAGGGCAATATTACTCTACCCTTGACTTTAGGGTCCCTAACGTTGTTAGAAAAAAAGTTCAGAGACAAGTTAGCACTTTAACCCTTTTATATATTTAACTTGCCTATGCTTAATTATTAGTTATGGTTGTAAAGTACGATTATTAGTGTAGAGGGGAAAATTATGAATGTACTGCATTCCAGACTGTTCCTTGTAGTCGTGAGTGCTTTTTCTTTTTCCCCTATATGTTAATGTTGGAATAATAAGAAATAAAGTTTCTATGGACCCTGTTGAAGTTTGTCTTTTCAGAAAACGACACTAATATTTATGTACAATAATATTCTTATTTTTGTCCATATAAAAAATAACTTCTTTCCTTTATTCTCATGTAGGTCTGCTATTTTCGGTACATGAGATTTTTTCCTTCTGGGCGATTTCTTTATAAGGTTATGATTCTGTGCCTAGTTGATGTAATATTTATATTATTGTTGTACCTGATTGTCCAATTTTATGTCGTGCAGAATTCTTCTCAAAAAATTAAGAATGTTGTGAAGTGCATGAACTTCCGATCATCTAAAGCAGACTGTGTCTTTGGTGGCCACTACACATTGTCAGATGACAAGGTTAGGTTTAAATATATGTCAAATTAACTAATAGAACCTTTTCCCTAATCTGTCTGTTTCATTATTTCTTCTGTAAACTTCATCATCTACATATTTTTACTGACATTTCCTTTTAAGGAATGGCATCACGTATTGGTATATTTCTTTATGTGGCTGTTGAGGTATTTCTAATTAAACTATCATTGCAGGTTGAAGCGGCTGTCTTGTATCCAGGCATGCGGCCTACTGTGTTGAGGATTCGCTTAAGGTAGTTTGACATGTTCACTTGAATATTCTGCCGTCTTGAAAGTTATTTTCATGAACCGGATGAAACAGTTATCTTCTCTAATTAGGTTGTCTGTAGCTTGTGCTATCATTCAACCCAAAAAATAAGTTTGTGTTGTTACACTCATTCTCGGGGAGTAAACAAAATTTTCTTGGTATTGAGATTTCGTGTTGCGCTGGAAGTGAAAGAGATGGCATAATAGTGATGGGCTGATGGATAGGTTTAATTTTTTCCAATTTGGAATTCACCGTTCCCAAATTGATGGCATAATAGTGACAGACAGCCAGAAGCATAAGGATACTTTTTTCTATGGAATTAGAAATGGTTTTTGTTTGCGCTTGGGAAGAAAGCAGAATTAGGATGGGAACAATTTGGTATTGGAATTAGAAATGGTTTTTATTTAGGCTTATGAAGAAAGAAGAAAAATGATGGGGCAAGGTTGTTTGATAGAAAATTACCTGAACAGAGGGCAGTTTTTTATATCATAATGAAAACTTTTACCCTATGATTGGATGGAGAGAAAAATAGACTGATGGAACCCTCTACTCTATTAACCTTAAAAACAAGCAAAACAAAAAAATACACCTCAAATGGAACTATTGCTGAATAACATAGTTGGATTACAAGCAAAATAAGGACTGAAAATATATGGAACAGCACCAAATACACTCCAACGAGCAGCAATACAAATATAATCACTCACTTGCAAGCACACACTGAGCAGAAAGAAAAAATGATGAAGAAAGCCTATCTCCCTCTGCCCACCCCCAACTTGGTATTCGAGAGGCCAAAGCTCTCCCACTCTCAATTTTCAAAAGACTTCCCCCCTTCCCTTTGCATGAAAGGACAGATCTAAAGAGCCAAAAAGTAGTCATTGCCCCTACCAACAGTACTTGTACCTTTGGCTGCTCCTAACCTGACTTGTCCTTTACCATTTTAATCCTTCAGATAAAAACGTTGGGATAAATCTCTTGACCACTGGTGTTTAGTCTTCTCTAAATTCCTAGATTGTCTACCATATAGATCTTAGGAAATGACATCCAAATCTTTCGGGAATCACCAACTGTACTAGAGAGGAAGGAAAACTATTTGAGAAAACTCCTAAAAATAGTAAAGAAATTTATTATTTTTTTGAAATTTCTCCTCTCAGTTTTCTCTCTTCCCTATTTTCCCCCACTTTTCTCTCAATCCAAACAAAGCTTTAATGCAAAATGCAAATGAAAGAATGAAGACTTACTTCCGTTTGGTTACAGAATAGATTTTGATTGGAAATAAATAGAAAAGCATGTATTGACTATTGTGTTTGATATGATATGTACAGGAAGATAAATTTTTTTATTTTCGTATATTTAAGTAAATGAACAAAATAACCTTAGAAGAATTTCTTTTTCTCCCGTGTTCTTCTTCTTTCCTAGGTCCAATCTTCCTCTCCACTCACTCATCTATTCCTAGCTCCATTATTCATCTGAAGCAAAAATTGAAAGATATGAACTATTAATCTAAATCTAAAATCCTCAAGTACTGATAAAACGAAAAAAAAACTATACGATTCTAACTGCTGAAAATGAAAATGAAGATAGGAAAATCCGCATGAATCTTGACATTGCAAGTGTAGATTAATCTTCATGTGCCACTGGCCACTGCAACCACTGTCCCAGATATGATAATCCCCCTTGCTAGCCTTCACCACCGTGTCACCATCCTCCCCATCTACAGGCTTCCTGCCACCACCCATGCAATGCTTGCTGCTGAAATCAGCAATAGAAGACAGCGACGACAACAAGCCTTATCCCTCTAGGTGAGGTTGGCTACATGGATTATATAACACATTGCACTCTATCATTAACCAAACCTTTGAGAATGTTGTTAATCAAGAGGTCTAGACATGGGCTGTGGATAGACATGTGAAGTAAAATAGAACTTGGGCTGTGGATGGTCAAGACAGTAGACAAGTATTATAAATTATTCTGTAGAACATGTTGGACACAATAAACTGAAGTGTGGTGGGTCTGGAGCAATGGATGAGAGGATCCTGGAGGGTAGGGGAGAGGATATTGGAGGATACTTTAGTCATTGTAATATTCATTCCATGGTCAAAATCCTTGTTCCTCCCATTCTTAGGAGAAATTATTCCTTTATTCGTGGGAATGAGCTTTCCTTTTTAATGTGAATAGCAATACCCAAATGTACAAATCGGTGGAATGGAGATGCTTTTCCCATACTTCGGATGGCCCATTTCCGGGCACCAAACCAGCTCTTAGTTAAGAGCTGTTATCAATGCTTTGGAATACTTATTGAACTTCCAAAACTAATATATCTGGATTTCTGTGTCTGGCAAAAAAAATATATATATATATACATATATATATGTAAAAATTTATATATGATTTGCTTGCTTTAGAGAAAGAGGAAGATGTGAAAGTTTGCTAGACTTTGTATCACGTTTTAAATTACATGGCTTTGAATTTTTATTTCCTGACAGTGTGAATTTTCCCCCCTAGTACGCTGTTAAGCTTTTTTCTATGGATCTGCTTGTGGTACAAGGTTAAGAGGGACAGCTGCTGGGGCTAATAATAGGATGGACTTGATCTCCCTTGTCACTAGCGGCGTGAATGAGAGTGAGGCTAGTGGACCTGATGAAGGCATTCTTGGAGTTGTTGAGGGATGGCAAGATGATGAAACACACAACCCAGATGTGCCAGCAGTCTCACACAAGAGGGGCATGACATCCTTTGTCTTTGTTCCATTTGATGAGGTCCGTTATTTACCTTTTAAAAAAAATTCTAAATTATTGGGTAGAATTTGGATTTTCATGATTCAGCAACTTAATCGGAGCGATGAAAAATCCATGAGCCGTGGGTGTTAACACGTGCATCTTATTTTCTGTTCTGTTGGCTGATTACCATCTCCTTTTGTTTAACGCTCCAAGTGTTTCTTTACCTATCTTTAAGGTTTTGCTAGCCTTTTAGAATTCATTAATTATCTCCATGCTAACATGTAAGGTGGATTATGGGGTAGATTTTTTCCCTAAATGATTTGGGTATGATTATGATCGAAAACATCTCTATGGACGCTTTTAATTAAATATTTGCTTTCCGGTGTATAGGCGGAGGCGTCAGTTTTCAATCTGCCCGTAGAGAAGATGGATTATTTTGTACCTGGTTGACTATTGCCTTGGAACAATATTGGGTTATATTTGTAAATAAATCTGTTGATTCCAAAAGGTCCCCCGAAATTGTGTATTTATATATGGATGGCAATTGGGTGATGATTTGATGCCCGCATCAAGCTGTGGAGTTGTTTTCAATTTCACTTCGATTGTGTAGAGGTGCACAAAGCTATCTTGTGAATTTAGTTACTTGATTGACTTGTGTAGCTGTCGATCGAATTGTTAGATTGCATCAATTATTTGATAAGGTTGAGGGGACAAGTTGGGTGCAAGATCTGAAGGCAGACGTAACTAGTAAACATGTCGTTAATGTTTAATCATTTCATCCCCCCAATATCAAGGCAATAATTTGAATTAGACAAGCTTTTTGTCAAGTATAATTTAAATATTTGAAAACAATTATGCCTCATTTGATATGTTGGAAATGATTTTGATAAAAATGAAAATGAATATAAAAGTGGATATATATATGAAAATAAAAATGAAATTTAAAAATATGTTTGGTGTATTTATAAAATAGAGAGATTATTTTTATTTAATATTGATATTTAAAATATAAAAAGACTAAAATGTTCCCATCTCCAACAAATCATGCTCAACCCAAAATCATCGTCCACTGCCCTTCAATTTCACAACTTCACCAAATCAAAAACAAAATTGAAAGTCAAAATCCAAACCAAACGTAGAAATCACTAGACTAGACTAGAAAATCAAAATCACCAAACTAAAAATAAAGTTGAAATCACCACACCAAACTTTGAATTCAACTAGATATTGGAAATGCCCTCCTCTTTGGTTCTTCTCTATCTCTATGTGTGAAGAGTGAGGGCAAATATTGTTGAGGATCGAGAAGAATAAGTGGAGAGTGAAGGAAGAGGCCACTTGTCAAGAGGGAGATCTAGACTTGGTCATCACTAACGAGGAAACTTACACCAAAGACAAATATTGCTAAGGATTGAGAGGGAGAAATGGAGTTTTGGATGAGTAATGATCAATGAAGGATGGAGACCAAATGGCTAAGCAATAAAGGTCAAAGATCAAAAATTAGAGGTCAGAAGATTACAACTGGTTCAATGGTGAGTGGTTAACAAGAGATGAAACAGGAGCTAACAGAAATCATTGACTTTTAACAATTGTGACCATGACGGTGGCAACCTAGTCATCTCGCCAACCATCTCTCCATCACTCACATTAGGTCTTCATGCTACCACAGCATTGACTATGGAGTCCCAAAGTAGACGGGCAAAAAGGTCAAGGTGTTGGAGATGTAAATGGAGAGGAAATATGGAATTGCAAAATTGAGATTTTATTATGAAAATTAATTCCATCATTTTTGGTGAAATGGCTTCCACATAGAATTGGCTTACATCATACCAAACAAGCCAAAATCTCATTTCCATCATCAATTCCATTTTCACCCTTCTCAATTCAAGCATAGCAAACAGGCCTTATTGGTCTCTGTTTTTTTCCCTCCAAGTGATTCAAACTGTTCTCAACATATGAATTCTTATATAGCGAAACCTAGAAGTTATCAGAAATAAATAATCATGCAAACTGGATCATGGGCTTTAACTCAAACATTAGCTGTTTTCCACCAGCCATCACAGTGATTATGGCAATGATCAAGGGTCTTAAACTCTCCTAATCTAGGCCTTAAGAGAGTTAATATATTTACTGATTTTGCCGAATCGGTTAACTTAATTACCAGATGTGATGTATCTCAACATCCTAATAAGGATGTGATTGATCGCGCTAGATATTTGTTGTATAGGGAATTTCTGTCTCTAAATATGTATAGAGAGAGCAACTTTTATGCGCATACCTTAGTTCGGAATTTCCCTTACTTGGTGGAAAGTTTTTGTGCTTTTGATCATCCATTACCTTACTGTAGATAGGTGGTTCCTAGCCAGAGGCTTAGATCTAGCCCCATATGCTGATTTTTTTTTTTTGGGCAACATATACTGACTTGGTTCTCTCTCTCTCTCTCTCTCTCTCTCTCTGTTTTTTTTTAATGATATTCCTATTTTCAATCCAAAAAAAAGTTATCAACAGGTATTAGCGATTCACCAAAAATTGTGTCTGTAATGTACCATCAAATCGAAGGTTAAGGAGAAGCATCTCGAGGCTGATAGGAAAGGCGCAATGACCTATCGTCCCCCTCTCAGCCTCCACCTGTAGGTGTTCTGCAAGAGAAAAGCATCAAGAAACAGAAATACTAACGCCACAGAACACTCTTTAACATATCAAGAAATTTGCAAATTCACAAGACTACATAAATTTTGATCGTTTATAGGAGAATATTTTGAATGTTTCACAGAACTCTAGATTAGCGTTACTTCAATATCAATCCATCCAAATGAATAATCCCGCAAGAAAATACAACATAAAACCGACCGAATTCAGATTTCGGAAAGAGGAGTTGCCAGCTAAAATAAATGTAATCATGGGAAAACAATAGTATTTGACTATGATCTAAAATTTATCCTCCGAACTAATCAGCACGAGATTGGCCTGCTCGGGATGAGAGAATGATACCCACGATGAGGCCATAGAGAGCAAGAGCTTCGGCAAAGATCAATATAAGAATCATACCAACAAACAGCTTCGGTTGCTGGGCGTTTGCCCTGAAAGTTAAACAAAGCCCAAAAAAAAAAAAAAAAATGTTATGAGAAGTTACACAAGACATACACATTGCATATATTCATCGATAACAAAATACATTACAAGCTACAATGGCCCAACAAAGTAAGAATAAGATATAAAAGTACATAAGCACAAAAATTTAGCGTAAGCATGAGCAAGCAGCTAAACAACTCAAACTCTAGTAATAAATAAGCTCAAAGAAACCAAAATGCTTGCAAAGAAATTTATATCAACCTTCCGCAGAATGGATAAGTTGTGCTCAATATTTCTGCAATACATTTAAGAAGAGCACGCAAATCCAGAAAAGAACAAAAAATATCCAATTGAATTTCTCAAACACCGCCGTTATCCCACAAATAACACTCAAAGCACTGCATGCATTTACAATTCAGTTTACATGCCAACTATACAAAAGGAAGTAAAAGGCACAGCATCTCATCATACATGGTAATCAAGATCTAGAATCTTCTCATATAATTAATAAAATCACATCCTTTTTTATGACGACAAATTTGGACCACAAAAATATAAATACCACATTTCCTCTAGCATGAATCGAATGATTTGCTATATGTTTTATCTTTTACATTGACTTCTTGAAGAATGATCGTTAATATGAAAACATACAACAGAACTGGAAAAAATATAGCGATATTTAAGTAGAAGATAGAGCAGACTAAGAATCTTCAAGAACAAAAAATTTTGAGAGTTAAATGTGCTTGCCAAACCGCATTAGTAATCTCCATTACCTGTACAATCCGGATGCACAACTGATATCATCCATTAATACAAGGAAACGAATTTTCACAGACGACAACATTCAAAGATGATATTCATAAACAGCTGACTTAATGTTCAATTTCACACCGCGAACAAGCTCTACTTGACTCGAGTAATTAATATGAATTTAATATTACTATTGCTTAATCCCGCTTTATACCCAGACACTGTCCCTAGTCTACACTAGAATCAAATATAAAATAAAGGATCGAGCTAGTCATATCTATGATCATCCCCCACCTTCCTTACAAGAGGTGGGAAATGATGATAGATTTAGGGGAAATGATTAACTCTTTCGTTTCCTTTTCTGATTTTCCTCTTGGTTTCTTGTATTTTGTTGTTTCTTCATTAATATATGGTTCAGCATTTGTACAAAACTACGTAGAAAAACATGAGTAGATAAATAAAACATACCGAACTCCAGCATCACCAACAATTCCAATTGCCATTCCAGCAGAGAGTCCAGCAAGGCCACAAGCAAGGCCAGATGACAAGTGGGCGTAGCCATCAAAGAGATAGTATGATTTAGCCTTGGGGTTTATTCCAGTACTAATAATAACAGCAATAATTAGTCCATAAATACCCAGCACTCCAGCCATAACTACTGGAACAATGGATTTCATAACCAGCTCGGGCCGCATAACACCCATGGAAGCTACGCCTACTCCACTCTTTGCAGTTCCATATGCAGCTCCCATACCTGAGATCAACAAACAAATTTGTCGCGATGACACTTATTTCAAACAAGCAAGAAAACACAGAAACAAACACATATTCAACAAAAAGATCATTAGGAATCCCTTATTTGAATTCGACGCGGAATTTAACGGCTAAAAAAAGAGGAAGACGAAAAGAAAATGAACAAGACATGGAAAAACAGGGAGTTACAGGAGAAGACGAGAGCAGCAGCGGCTCCGAGGAAGCCGAAAAAAGGAGCAGTTTCGTCACCGCTGAAACCTGCCATCTCACACAGACTTCTTCTCCTTCTCCTTGGAATGGAAGATGAAGATGGAAGAGATCGGATCAAAGCAAATAATTCAATGTCCAATAATTGATTTGTTCGTTTCGATCAAGGCAATTGATAGGAGTCGCAGTTGCGAATTTACAATAGTATATACGTTTGCAGCCCTTCTCGAATTAACCATTTAAAAAAAAAATTTAATTTTTTAATTTTTTAACTTTTAATTTATTTATAACTTAATTTTTTTAATTATAATTTACTGTGACTCAACTTTTTAATTATAATTCATTACAATTCAATCTCTCAATTTTTGATTTACTTATAACTTGATTCTTATTTTTAATTTTTTTTAAAAAAATTATCAAATAAAAGAGATAAAAAAATACTCATATATTATTTTAAAATACTCTCTTCTAATTCATTAATGTGACATATAAGTTAACATGAAAAAAAATTAACAAAAGTTAAGGAACTAATTTGTAAGTGATTTAAAAGTTGAGGGAATAAGTCATAGGTGAGTTATAATTAAAGGATTGAATCATAGTGAGTTATAGTTGAGTGACTGAGTTACAAATGATTTAAAACTTGGAGGATTAAAAAATTAATTTTTTTTTTTGTTTTTTTGATAAAATTCTGGAATTAACAATTGTCTGAATGGGCTCATTCATCGTTTTGGGCTACAGCATGGGCCCATTACCAAGAAGGTTTTCAATTCCGGATTCAATTTCACTTGGTTTTTATTTCAAAAAAAAATATATTTCAATTTCAGACAACATTAATACATAAAAAAGTGTATGGTGGTCCTACATGCATGAATTAACAGTAAATTAATTGTTGGATGGATGAAAACAAAATAATAAAAGTAGAAGGGAGGATTATATTTTGTCACTCTTAATTTTAGGAAAAATTCATATAGTTTTAAAAATAAAAGAGAAGTATATGTAATTAAAGTAAAATAGGAGGAAAGTCAACGCATTTTACTCCAAAAATCGACTCATTTCATCTTCCAAAAAAAAAAAAGCAAAATAAAGTTGTGAATCTAATCAAATGTAAATCCTTGATGCTCAAACTAGGTCTGAAACGGACAATATTCTATTTAATCGCTGTTATTCAATGAAGTGCATTGCATAAGACTTGCTCCAGAGTAATGCACGGAACAGCTAGTTGCCTTGTTACTCTTTTCTCTGATTATGAGGCTGATTTTAACTCACTCCACATATCAACAATATTTAAGTAAATTCAGAATTAACATATTGAATGTCAGATTGGAAGTTCAATAACGTTTTGAGTCTGTCTATTCCATTACATGATTTTTTGTATGACAGGAATAATCAAAAATTGTAATTCCAAGTGAATGACAAACTTCAAAATATTATTGAATAACGTTACATCATAAGAGAGCTGCCTCACATACAGGTTGGGGTTAAGCCACCTCTTGAGATAATGGATATATCAGAATGCAAAAATGGACAGAAAAACAATGAATTTGACACTGTACACATAAATAATAAAAGAAGTGTACAGCTTATGTTGATTGATAAAGAAGGTTCTGATCATTTCCTTAGCTCTCCCACGGCCTTTCAGATGCGTCTTCAGGAACCAAGGCAAGGTTAACTGCCAGCAGGCACGTTTAGCTGCAAGAAAGTCTGAGGCAAGGTATGAATCCAGGTCCCCAAAAAGCATCATTAACTCTAACTGTGCAGTTGCCATGAATAAATTCTATTTGCTGAAGGGCAGTCGTTTAGCTCCTTGCTCCAAGGCATCTCTCCAGAGCCTGTACCTTACCCCAAGCTTGTCATATGATACCGGGAAGTTCCAGACATTAGCACCTTTGTTCATCCGTTCCTGCTGCCCTTCCACTAGCCGTAGATCCTCATTTAAAACCTTTAATATGCCAGCATCACCCCATCAATGAGGAAAGTTGAATATGAAAGTGAAGAATCTCTTAATGCTGAATGAAATAAACCAATATGCTACATAATAACAGAAATTCACGTCAAAGTTTCTGAAAGGCTCGAAACTGACAAGTTTAAAATGCAATAAATTAATTTGTGGGCATAAATATCTCCTGTTCATTATAGCATGTCAAATATTTTATGGTAATCCTCAGCGCTTTTTGCATCAACTTTAAGCTTAAATATTTTTCTTTTAGATATAATAGGATATCCAATTCAATCATCACTTAATCCTTCTTCTTTTATCTGCTTCTCTAGTTCTAAAATGGGTAATCATGCATTGAACAATCACTCTACCTGTTCTGCAAAATGTCTCCATAGATATTGCATAAAAGGCATGTGCTTAAGCAGAGGAGCAAAATCCAGAGACATTCTGTATAGTAATCTTGTTTTTTGTTTTGTCGACGGTAAGCAGACATGAAGTTGGTGCAGGTGCGTGGCACACTGCTTGGTGTTCTGTCCCTCCAGTTTTCCAGGTTTTGAAATTCCAATGGTTGATAGAACCATGCAAGGCGGTCGAAATTCCATATCAATTGGATAAGGGTCCCAGTGCCCTTGTAGCCCAGACGCAGGAGTGAAAAATTTTACCAAGCTGCAAGTCCAAATACACAAAATGGGGCTGAGTTGGTTCGAATTCATTTCATGACATAAAACTTCTACTTATGCTGGTTTAGTCATTCATAATGCTAGATGATCAACAAATAAGGCATATTGATTAATTTTGGATTACGGATTAAAGGTAAGTGAATCAACTGCATTCATACGTAACTTAGTCCAAAGCAAGGTAGTAATTGTATAATAAACTGGCAATATGAAGAATACAAATCAATTAACCTGCTCAATTGCTAGATAAAATTCTTTTAGTTAACTCAAAGCTACAATATTTGTCCAAAATAGGTATCAAAAGTTTTACAATCAATTCGTAATGAATTAAACTGTCACTTCATTAAAAAGTATTTGGGTCAATTCATCACTTGGATTCTTCTTACCATTTTAAATGACAAATTACTCTCAGATTTAACAGTATGAACCAAAACAAACCTGGGAACGCTCCATCCCTTAGCAAAAGTTGAAGTGTGAGTAAAAGGAGCGTGTGCAAGGTCCAAAAGGTTGTCCAAAAGTAATCCATGTTCTATAGGAAGTTCCATGACAATCTGTCACACCCAAAGAGGCACCATCCAGGCATCTAAGTCTCTTTAAAAATTGTGCGATAATAATTATTGCTTCGTACATTTATTGCAAACAGCATATAAAGGAGAAGGATTGTATTCATAAAGTACCTCAGCATGTACTTCAAACCCTGATGGAGGTTGTAATGATGGAAGTGTGCTTTCAGGAGGGTCAGTACCAGGCCAAATCCAGATCATCCCCTCTTGCTCAAAACATGGCAATGCCTTGATCTTTACATTTAATTGTCGAGTGGATGGCATTTTCTCACATTTTCCATCAGTTGCATACTCCCAGCCTGATTTCACCCACATGTTAACTTTTGAGTCTCTATACATGTGCACGTGCAAGACTGGTAGTGTTATACATTCATATTTGAATAAGTGCATGCAACAACAACAACAAGCTTTATCCCATTGGATGAGATTGGCGACATAGATTGCATGAGTCATTATGCTCTATCAACAACCCATTCTAAAAATATACTTGAATATGTGGATGGATGAGAAATGGTAATAGGATGTAATTAGACTACAATGAACATGTGTATGGAAGAAAGAGAATATAGTCTCATAATTTGTTTCAGTCATTGCATACCATGATAGGGGCACTGGATACGACCCTCCCTCACGGAACCAAGGTGCAGAGGACAGGCTCTGTGTGCACAGGTATTCTGGACGCATCCAGGTTTCCCATCTTTCCCTCTAAAGATAACCCATGGTTCATCAAAACAGTCAATTGGGATCTGAAACAGAAAAGTAGTAATACATTCGTGAATCATGAGAATTCACATTCATATTCATATTCAGATATCAGAGTCACAAGTGTAAGAAAAAAATGGGGAGAAAGTGTAGAAGAAAATATTAAAAAGCAAGTTAAAAAATAAGTGGTGAAATTTCTCTCTTGCAATCAGTCAAATTTGCCAACAAAAACAAAAGGGCATTATAAATATCTTGCAGAAAAATCCACCTGCGAACCTTATATGGAATAACGACTAAGGTTAGGCTAGAGATCTTCAGTTCAGTTACAAGCTATGCCAAACGTCTATCCCTTTTATGATGTCATTTACTCAAAGACAACGTCCACTATCCTATCATAATAGTTTCCACTTAATCTGAATTAATGTGAGAAGACAAACACTATCAAGTAAATGATATAAAAAGCATCATGGTACAATTCCAATGACTTACCATAGTATCATCCTTCAGGTCATTAGAGAAAGCAACAGGGTACCAGAAATTCTTCAACTGGGGATGGTAGGATTGAACTGGACCTGACACGTTCAAGCTTCTCCGAGGCAGTTTTCCTTTGTCAATATCAACAGATTGTGCAGAAGTACTGGGAGATAAGGATGCTTGGTCAACTTCAGTTGCAGAGTTGCCTTGTAACAGCCTATCATTCACCAATGCTTCCATGTGAGCTAGTTTATCTAAAGCAGTGGAAACCCTTGCTTCAGATATATGAACCTGTTTGGTCAATAAGTTTCATAAATATGGTCAAAGCTTAAAAGTTCATAAGCAATTTCACACCGGGTAAGTTGAATGATAGACATCTCAGTTTCAAGTTGTGCTAATTAGTCTACAGCTGCTAATGATCTATACCTGTCTATGCGCTTGAGCTAATTCTTCCTGCAAATCTGCCAACTCTTTTTTCATGGTGCTGATTGACTTATAATCACGAGCTAGAGGATTAAGGACATCAACCACCTAAGCCCATTTTTACACAAAAAACCAATCACATGAAATGAAACAAGCATGTTTAGACAGTAAATATATTATTCTGACATTGCCAAGTTCATAAAGATTCAATTTCAAGTGATTGAACCTCAATCAAAAGATACCAGGGTTTGTCCATATATCAAACATGACTTAAAAAATAAATCATACCAATCAAAATCAGTCAATACCTTTTCATGGAGGAGCATAATGGTAAGCACATCTTGACGAGCCCGCCAATCACAGTACTGAATATCATATCTAGCCACTTCTAGGGCTTGGTATATATCCAAAAATTTCCCTTTATACTGAGGGACTTTAGATCTTGGATCCTCCACATCAAAGAGCGCACCCCACGCATTCTTCCTACATAGATCCTCTCCAAATACAGCAAACACTCTAAATCTTCCTTGCAAACCCTGAAACACATCATACCATACAATTTGTAAATGTAATGTCTAAAAACTATATATTCGCTGAGGCATAGAAGAGACAGAAAATGTAGCCTACAAAATAGAAAATGATGGGCTTCGTAGCTATGCTAAGTGATCATATCTAGAGTTTTGATGAACCCCAGATGAGTTAGGTACCGAAACCCACAGCAAATCAATCAATATGACGTTGAGCATGATATTTTCTGCCACAGATAATTTCAGATAACAAGCATCTATATTTATCTTATCTCGTGAAACAGAGGAGAAACCAATTTGAATTCGTGTAAATTATATTAGGACAAAACAAGTTTTCCTCAGAATTAAGAAGGAAACCAATCACTTTAGCAGTAAAACAAATAGCAACGTGAATCCGCAAGCCCTAATACAACTGAAACCCAGCTTAATGCCAATTTAGCCTGGTTCTCGATCAAAAACAGCCTGGCAGACCTTAATGGCGAACAAAGAGATGAAACGCGCACCTTCTTATGATCAAGTTTGCACGATCTAAAAGAGGAAATGGGCAAAGAGAGAGCTACCGCAGTTGCTACGGCGTTCATGGCGGTGCGAAGCTGACAGAACAGAGGGAGCGAGGAGAAAGATTAGTGAAAGAGTACCAATTTGGTGATTTTGTTGATAAGAGGTTGGTGCACCGCGCGATCTCGGCTGGCCTTCAAAGGGGCGCCACGTGGACGCAATGCCTGCATACGTGGCAGCTCCATCTTCCACATGTTCTTCAGGGCTCTGACACTCCTCAAGTAGCAGTGGGGCCCCTGATCTTGCCAGCTCGGACGGGAGAAGATATATTCTCTATCCTTTGCGTGCTGGGTCGTTTGTCATTTTGTGGGACGTTGTGCTTGGGAAAAGCTCGGAAAGATCTGTCTCTTGGTTTTCGGGGTTGTGAGATAAATTTATTAAAAAAAAAACAAAAATAAAATCTCAAAAAGAAAGGGATATCAGACCATCAACTCTTCCATGGTACAGCGGACCGGTTGTCGAATAGTAGATTTTATTGTCTAATCTCTAATGGGAACCTATACGGTCATCCGTCACTTGCATCCATTATCCATCGCTGCCTGCGTCAAATCTCCCAAAGAAAATGGCAGTATTATATTTCCTCGTTTTTAAAAAAATTCATATTTTTTATAAAAAAATATATCATTAATTTTTTATTTTTTTATTTTTTATAATATTGTATCAATAGAGCAAACGAAGGACAAAATATTTTAAAAGGCAATATATTTAATAAAAATAAACTATGGAAATTATGTACAAAATAATAATTTAACTGAAGTTCCTTAATTTTGATAAAAAAATTAAAAGTAATTTATATATGAAATCCTGATGTGTAGTGCTATTTTTTTTCAAATGTACGGTCTTATATCTACAGTCCATTGGTCATAAATTTTGCGGATTTGTTATTGTCCTGAGTTGCTTAATGAGATTTGAGGAATGGGACAATGACAATCAAGTCTCAAAAAAAAATAATTAAATTTAGTTAGATCCCAAGTAATTTCAAAAGGTCAATAAAGTCTCATGCTTTTTTTTTGACAAATTAGAATTATAATAAAAATGACTAAAATGCTCCTATGATTAAATATAACATCTACATTTATCAGCCCAATATTTCTCTCTCAAGCAAACCCGTTTACGCCGTTAATGAAAGCTGCATGTAAGTGGAAGAGAGACAAGTTGAAGAATACCCATTTCCAAATCAAAGTTGATCTTAAAAGAGGTGGAGTTGTCTTGATTATTGACTCAAATAAGCTTTTATTCTTTGCCTACATAAGTTTGTTTGGCTGGTGCATTTAGATAGTTTTTTTTTTTTCAAATCTCTGCATCTGAACAAAAAGATTGACTCAAGATGACACTTGTAGGGAAAAAGATGGAATGCTTTTTTGCAATTGAACATGAAAGGTTTTTTTTTATTTCACATTTCTAGAGATTTGGCTCGACATTTTGCAACTGAAAGTATAAGAATTTATCGTCGAGTGTCCATATTTTAAAATAGAATGCTATTGCTACCTCACTGATGCAAAAATTCCTGATGTCAAAAGTAACTTATTTTTGAGTGATATACTATGACATTTTATTTTGCTTATTGTAGATTGATGTTATTGAGTACGATGAAAAGTAGTTGTTTAAAAAAATTTTGTTATTTTTATTTTAGTGGAAATATTGTACAAGATATGCATAGGACAATGTATTATGATAGGGAGAATTGTAATTGAAGAATGATTAGAGAAGGAATGTCTCTTGAAGGACTTGCTAAATTGATTGTATCATGCTTGAATTATGATTTAAATGGAATAGACTTGAAGTATACAATAAAGTTTGATTGTAATGCATTTTAAACTGTAAAGACGATGAAAGGATAAATAAATTAATGAAGTTGAATGATGATTTTGCTTATGTGTACATCATTGAAAAGATACAGCAAAGTACAGAGACAAAAAGAGATTTAATTGATAGGTAAGTTTTTTAAATAGTTGAATGATTATTATTATGCTAGTATGAATATGAATGGTAGTAATAAACATGATTTGAATGGAAATGCAAAGTAAGATGTTTAGCTAGGAATTTACATGCTACACGTGATCTTGAAGTTCTTACATGTACAATACAAAGTATCCAAACACCAATACCTGAGCTATATATACAGTTCATATTAGAGGATTTTTTTGGTACATAGCAACCCCTCTTTTGTAAATCCAAGTTCATGCTTTTGTGTATGTGGACAACTGATATGTGCAGATGCATTAGATGAATTAATACTTGTAACTTATATGTACAGTTCATATCTTTTATGATCACTAAAAGTGTGTCGTCTTAAAATTTCAAATAAAGGTTGCCAATTATCCATAAGGTAGTTGTAAAATTTAGTATCTCATTTGTAAATTACTGGAACCATGTCTTAAAATAATTTGGAAGCTTTACAAGTTCAAAAATTCAATAGTTATTCCATCCAAAACTTCGAGAACGAGTTGTAAATTATTTGTAAGCAAGTTGCAAAATTTGACATCTTCGTTGCAAATTACTAGAGCGATGTTCTAAAATAATTTAGTAGTTTTACAAGTTTAAGAATTCAATAGTTCTTCTACCCAAAATTTCAAGAAGGAGTTGCAAATTATTGGTAAGGAAGTTGCAAAATCTAGTGTCTCAATTGCAAATTACTGGAATATTATCCTAAAATAATTTAGAAGCTTTACAAGTTCAAGAATTCAATAGTTATTCCACCCAAAACTTTGAGAAAGAGTTGCAAATTATTCATAAGGAAGTTGCAAAATTTGATATCTCAGTTGCAAATTACTGAAGTCATGTCTTAAAATAATTTAAAAGTTTTACAAGTTCAAGAATTCAATAATTGTTCCACCCAAAACTTCAAGAAGGAGTTGTAAATTATTTGTAAGGAAGTTATAAAATTTAGTATCCCTATTACAAATTACTGGAACCATATCTTAAAATAATTTAGTTGCTTTGCAAGTTCAACAATTCAATAGTTCTTCCACCCAAAATTTTGAGAAGGAGTTGCAAATTATTTGTAACAAAGTTGTAAAATCTTGTGTCTCAGCTGCAAATTACTAGAGTATTGTGCTAGGATAATAAATTTTTTAAGAATTTAATAGTTCTTCCATCTAAAATTTCGAGTAGGAGTTGCAAATTATTCGTAAAAAAATTATAAAATTTGGTGTTTGAGTTGCAAATTACTGAATCGTTGTTCTAGAAGAATAACTTTTTTAAGAATTTAATAGTTTCTCCATCCAAAATTTCAAGTAGAAGTTGTAAATTATTTGTAAGGAAGTTGTAAAATTTGATGTCTAAATTACAAATTATTGAAGCATTATCCTAAAAGAATAACCTTTTTAAGAATTTAATAATTCTTCCATCCAAAATTTCGAGTAGAAGTTGCAAAGTATTCATAAAGAAGTTACAAAATTTGGTGTCTGAGTTGTAAATTACTAGAGCGTTGTTCTAAAATAATAACTTTTTTAAGAATTTAATAGTTCTTCCACCTAAAATTTTGAAAAAGAGTTACAAATTATTCGTAATGGTGAATGTTGATGAGGATCAGGCTATTCAACGAGGCAAATGTGTCACAACCATCAAAAATTAACGACCAAAACAAATCACAGATTAAAAATGCTATTAAATTAAAATCTCCATTGTAAAAAAATTGTGAAAACAGGTTACAAAGTCTAGGGAAGGAAGTTCTACAAGCCATCAAACATTGTAATTACATTGTACACACATCACTAAAATTCATTAAACTTCTTTCTTGCCTTCTTTGGTCTGTTAGCTTCTAAAATAGAGGCAAAAACTTTGTTTCTCACTTTATTTCTCGTGTGATTTACTAGCCACCATACCACATCTATCCTAAACTGTCTCAATTGTTCTTGAAAAAAATATAAGGAAATTTTAAGTTTGACATTAATAATTGAAAGAAAAAAAATTAGAAAAATTATGGAACACATATACATACATTTGAAAAGTTCTCCATTATGAGTCCTCCTTTTCTTCTTCTATCATCCCATTTTGCACAGTACTATATGATGTATACTCTACAGTCAGCTCTACAAATATGAGCAGTCAAGGTAGCATAAATTAAAACTTTGGCAAATATGAAAAAGAAGAAACGAGATAGCAAGTTGTTTTATCACACCTGATGCTATAGCCAGAGTTACATGCATGCTTTATCATAATAGGCTAATAGTAGTCATTTTTGAAAACATCATGCCATTGTGATTATAAATAAGCTAAACTTAAACAACATGTATACATGGTGATTACAATCCCAAGCCACATCATGACAAATCTCATCCACATACGAATGCTAGGAATCCTCTAAAACACACACAAAGACATAATAAACACACACACACACAGAGACAATCAAATATCTAGATATTTGATTGTCATTTTCCCAAAAATTAAGCATTCGATAAATCCAAGACAAGAACATTGGGTTATATCATGATTGAGGGAATTTTCCATAGACTTCAAAACTAGGAAGTTTCTTGTTCTATTGTATTTAGACAACCATCCTTCTTATTATTTAGGGGGGAGTGTGAAAACATGCATATTTGTAATTTTTTCCTTCACCCTTGACTTTGTGTTATGTAGATCAGTTTTTAAGCCCAAGAAATTGAAATAAATGTGTTTGATTTGGTTTTAATTTTCATTCTTAATTAATCCTCTCTTGCAAGCCATTAGCATAAAATACATGCATATAAATAGTAAACATATTATAATCCACTTGGCACAAAGTGCAATGGAAAGGAATCCTACTAGTGATAGTAGCAGTACAAACAAAACTAGCAGAGAAGAGCATAATGCTCTTCAAGGAGAAGAAATCAATTGCCAAAACAGGTCAAGAAACGTGTTATAATACAATGCTCCCTTAATTTCCATGACTTGCTTAAGTTTAATTTACTATATTTGTTTATATTATTTATAAGTGAAGCAAAAATAGTGGAAGAAAAAAATTTGGGAAAATGACAATAAAGTCCCAAAATATCAATTTTATACCAGTTAAGTCCCAACAAATTCTAAAAGGCTAATCAAGTCCCAAGGTCCTTAAGTGGTATTTTGATGTCACAGGAAAAGACCGAAACACCCTTCTTCAAGTAAAAGCTCGTTTTCTTCTCTGCCCGAACGAGTCTCTATGCGACGCGAAGCTCTATTCTCTGGGTCTGCATTTTTTGATCCATACGGTGAACGAGGGCTTGGTTGGGCCAGGGGAGAGTGATTTTTTTGGGGGTAGCACACGTAGCCGGCAATTGAGAGTTGAACACTTGAAGGAGAAGAGGGAAACGTTGGTGGCAATGACAGAGGTGAGGGAAAATCAGTGGCGAGGGCCAAGATTTTGGCGATAACGACAACGGAGAGCCAGGGGCGAGGTCTTTTCTGTTAAGGTTTGGATTTATATGCCTAAATTGTATTTTTTTTTGCCTTTATTGTTTGTTGGGATTTGAAGACCTAGATCCCTGAGCTGGGCGTTCATTTTTTTCTGGTGGAAGCAGCTGAATCCCTTCCTCTTTCCTGCTCTGTTTCACGCTATTAGAGGTGTGTGTATATGCATGTTCAGTTTTTCTTTTTTCCTTCCTTTTTAGTTGTTGAAGTCCTGCTTGTGTATGTGTATTGGCTGATTGGCTAAAAGTTTGATCTGCTTTCTTCTCGTGTATGTAAAAGATTGAAGCTCTCCTCTTCCCCTTCATTGTAAACCACTTGCTGATCCACAATCATGTTATCTTAATCTCGCATAAGATATTGAACACTGTTTGATGAATTAAATTGTAAGAGCTTGGCAAACAAATGGTCAATGACAATGAAAACACGGACTGTACCTTTAACTATTATCAAGAATAAGACAATGCTGCTTATGGCATTTATTTAAGATAAACTTTTCCAATTTGACATAAATTTAGAATCAATGGCTGTCTGACTCTGAATATTTCCATTGACATGTTTTACATGCCCAAGAAATACTAAAATATTGAAGTCATGAAAAGTAGGTAAACTTGAAATTTAGGGTTACTATTTTGTGCCAATGCACTTGCAAGTAAACGAGTCTGTTCCAGTGCAGCTAAGTTTAGAATATTTGGACCTCTCATTTGATCTGCAGACGACAATAGAGACTGCAAAATGAATGGTAAAAGCTTACTAGTGTTAATCTTTGATGTTATTCTATCATGATAGTGAACTAAATTTGGTTAATAAAAGTAAAAGCTTGAGAGTTGTTAGAATTGCTTAGTTGTTCATCTCACAAATTTGTCAATGATAAATGCTCTCAAGGTATTTGTAGGTAGGCTTGAAAGAAGTTGATGAAAATGAGATTGTTTAATTTTCATAGTAGAACCTTGAGGAGTTATCTATGCTACCTAAGAAAGTTTATGTTTGTACATAAATTATAAAGTTAATCTACCTATTAAAATTATGCAACATCTAAAGGGAAATTGTTAGACAAAATGATAATTAAGATTTTTTTTAAAGTTTGTAAGAAGAGTTGTGTTAATGATGGTGGTTAAATGCTTACTAGTGTTGTTGATTATTTGGTAGAAGTTGTAGAAGGGTTATTAAAGATTAAGGGATTAATGATGTTAGAAATCGAATGCCTATGGGGATGATCAAGAAAAGAAACTTCTATTCTACCGATTTGACCATGAAGAAATTTACTTGATCTGAGTAGACTTTGGGTAGTATGAATCCTCAATGATATTTGAAGGAATTGGGCACAATGGGCTGAATGACGTGATTATAGTTGTTCTCTTTGGATATTACATTTGTGTGGAGCAATGATTTTCATTTCAGTGCACAATTTACTGATGCTTGGCTGTGCAAATCTGTTGTGCTTCTTCTTTGCAAATAATTTTTCAATCAATGGAAATGCTGACAATATTTAAGTTCTCTTCACCAATGCATGCAAATATTTTAATGTTCAATGAGTAAAAATAAATTTTCAATTTGCTTCACTTCTTTTGGGCAATTCCGTACAGATGTATCTGTATTAATCTATTTTGTTTTTTCATGAGTAGTTCAATGAATATATGTCTTTCTTCCTGGACCCAGCCTCTCCCCCCACCAACATAAAAAAAACCCCACTCCCTGTAACTTAAGGTGTGTTTTTTATGCCTGTTTCCTGTAAGTGGTTATCCTACTGAAGATCCTTTTTTGGATTAGGAATTTAACGTAAAAAGAAATAGTTTTGGGAATTTATTGCAAAAAGAGACATTTTTTTAGCTGTCAAAGAAAAGAAGGTAATTTTCTAGGTTTTGTTAGTGCAATCTTTATTGCCCAAAACTTGTTTGTGTTTTTCTCAATTTCTCTTTGCAAAAGTTCAGCTTCTCTCTTCTTGTGGACATGCATGTTTGTTGTGCCCTTTGACCATGAGCAAAGTTGTTAGGCTTTATTAATGAAATTCTGCTTGTTTCTGCTTACTTTCTTTCAATTTATTGGTTTAATTTTAACCAGTGTTTTTTTTTGGGACTTGCATTGGTGATAATTAGGTGGGAAGCTTGTTTATTAGAGCACAAAGAACCAAGAAACTATGGACAACAAGAAAGCTACAACAAAAAAGAAGTCTGGATACGACAACTTTAAGAAAGAGTTTCTTAAAAAAAATGAAGGAAGATTCAGTGGTCTTATATAAGACAATGACTTAATGAGAGAAAGTTGGCGAAAATTATCAAATGCTGAACAAGAAAGATATAGAAACATGGCTTTGTTAGATGGACAAGGCAAGGAATCAGCATCTTATTCCACGGCAATGGTATCACTAACTTGTATTTATTTTAAATTAATGAGATTTTTTACTATGATTGTTATGCATTGTATGGTGTTATATTATTCTTCTTGATTTGTAGGTTTCATTTAATACAAGTTGCTCTCCTGGCCAGTTCAAGGAAGTTGTGGAATACATATCCAAACATAAAAGGTTATGTACTAAGGTCAAGAAAATGGGGTTCTAATCTCTCTTGGATTTTAAATTTAATAAACTACCCAGAGAGTTATGTGAACAAGTAATTGCTGCTTTTGACAAACCAACCTCAACACTTAGAATTAGAGGGAAGAAATTAAGTGTTGATAGAAAGGATGTGCACACTATCTTAGGTGTGCCTTATGGTGGGAAAGCTATTTTTTTAGATGATGACAGCGAAGCATGTCAGGCATTAAAGAAGAATTATCTTGGCAAACCCTTCACTGAGTTGAAGAGTCTGGTAATATCCGGCAAGGCTGAAAAAAATTTTGAAACGGTGTTTTTGTTATTCACTTTAGGAACATTTCTTTGTCCCACAACAAGTACAACTGTTAGTATGAGGAGTATTAAAAGTTTGAGTGGAAAGAAAAATGTTCAAGAATATGATTGGTCATCTTTTGTGTTGTCGGAGCTTATTAGAGAAAGTTTGACTTATAAGACAGCATTAAGGAGTGGACGAAAGAAGAAGAATGTAGGAGGATGCTTATTTTTCTTACTGGTACAGTCTATTTGAAATCCTTCTATATTTTGTTCTAGTTTATTTGTTATTGATTAAATTATAATTATCCTTATGGTGCAGATATTTTACATGCACCACTTTCCATTAGGCCCAACACCGTCAATAGATGGTGGAACGCCTGTGATGCATTTGTGGAACCAACACATAGTGCAAAAATGGGTTAAGCTGGAAAAAGAAAGCATCCATGGTATTCTTTACGGTGGTCAGGCTAATGAAGTGTCTGAAGTTTTACCTCCACTTGCAACGATAACTCACTCGGTATATAAATGTTTATACTTTGTGGTTAAATGTTTTGGTTTTCACTTACTTAATAAGCTTGGTGTTGAAACTTGGTTAGGGTGTGAGGGAGATATATGAAGACTTTTTGCAATATGCTAATACATTTGCAAGTAAAGTGCTGAAGTTGCAACAAAGTCTTAACCAGCTTCAAATATCTGATAGTAAAGCTATCATGCGAGTTGCCGAACCAAGCGAAGAAGAAGTAGAGAAAGAAGACTGTGGAGATAAAAATGAAGCTGAAGAAGATGATAAAGATGGAGACAAGGGCGAAGATGAAGCTAAAGATGCACATGAAGTTGGGGATGAAGATGGGGATGAGGATGAGGATGAGGATGATGACGGACATGAAACTGCAGCTGGAGCTGGATCTAAAGAAGATGAAGATGAAGGCTCTAATAGTAAGGAAGAAAGTGATGAAAGACAAGATGGTAAGAAGAGGAGGAGAATAGATGAAAGCCCAATGGTTCGAAGGTCTGAGAGGAAAAAGGTTGAAGTAAATTGGTCACCTTTATTGAAAGAACCAATACAAGGGAGAATTACAAAAGAACAACAAATATATGAATATTGCACTAGGCGAACCAATCAAGCAGAGGGTGAAAAGTAAGTAATGTGATATTACTTTTCGATAATCATGGTACATTATGATTGATATAATAACACATTTTTTTGGTAGGTGTGTCGTTGAGATGTACGATTACTACTTAACTAGGGTCGAATGCTAAAGTCTTGGTCCTAAAAAATGGATAAGTACAGCGGTATGTCTAATAGTTTTAACTCATTAGTTGCTTAATTGGATAGCACATTGAGTATTGGATGTGATCCTTGTAGGTCATGAGCATGGTCGCAAAAGTGATGGTTGGTGAGCAACTTCGTGAAGGGAAGGTATGGAGGTACATATTTGATTCAAAATTTATGGCGACCCTAAGGGATAAAAAGTTAAGATGGTCTGTCTTTGAGGATGCAAAGATGCTCATGCCCGATCAACTTGGATATAACCTTGGAAATTGTGATTACCTCTTCTTGCCCATGCTTGTGTTCAATCACTGGTTTTGTTATTGTGCTGATTTGAAAAATGACAAATTTTTCATCCTTGATTCATTGGCTGGGAAGTTATTTAAAGAGAAGAAGATGATGGCCGGATTTATGGTATGCTTTATTAGTGCTTTTGCATAACTACTTTAGGTGACTTAAATTTTTACATGAGAATAGTTATCTAACTCTAGAACTATTTGTAGAGAACTAGCATAATTGAGTTGTTACAAGCATGTAACCTGGAGAAATATGGAGAGGATTTTCAGATGGAGATGATATTTGAAGAACTTTCCAAACAGAGTAATGTGTAAGTAACTATCTATGAAAACAAGAACCTTTTAATGTATTCATTTCTAGTAGACAATTTGCCTTACCTTAATTGCTCATATTTGTAGAGATGATTGTGGGGTATATGTCATAAAGTACTATACAGAATGGGATTGGTAGAAGAAGAAAAGGAGGACTGACCATGGAGGACTTTTCAAACGTATGTATATGTGATCCATAATCTTTCTAATTTTTTTCTTCCAATTATCAATGTAAAACTTAAACTTTCTTTATGTTTTTTTAGGAACAACTGAGACAGTTTAGGGTGGATGTGGTGTGGTGGCTGGTAAATCACACGAGAAATGAAGTAAGAAATGAAGTATTTGCCTCTGTCTCAGCAACTAATCGACCAAAGAGGGCAGGAAAGGAGTATAGATGAATTTTTAGTCTGTGACATGTTTTCACCATTCTGATTTTGTAGAAATTTCCTCTTCTACAATTTTTTCCCTCATGTGTTTTAGCTGAAGGTTGACTATGTAATTTGTACAAGTGAGGACATGCTCAATTGAATTTGAAGCTGTATCCAAATTTTAGGGCTTATAAGAATATTTTTACCAATATATTGCAAGGCGTATAAGAATAGAATTTTTGGCTGCAAAATTAGGCTGGCCTTTGTGGGATATGCTTGATTAATTTTGTATCCAAAACATGTTATTTGATCAAAATTTAGTCACATACATGCATTTTACCTAACTGAATTATGATTTTGTGTAAACAAGATTGCCAACACCTCCATTTGGATTTTATATCACAGGTACTAATTAATACTTATTATTTTCAACAAATTAAAATAACATGTATTTCCTGCCAATTGATACAGCCGGGCTGCTATTTATATTACTTTAATCATATGGTGATCCAATTCAATGTAACAAATGAATCATGCAATTTTCTAAATAAAACACTTGGTGTGACTATCAAGCAAGCTGAACAAGCAACCAAATCAATTATATATAGCCAATGTCGCAACTGTGTGTCAAAATTTTGGGTGGGGTAAGTAATGAATTCTCAACAAAGTAATTATTTTAGGACAAAGCTCCAGTAATTTGCAAGTGAGAAATCAAATTTTGCAATTCTCTTAGAAACAATTTACAACTGGTACTCCAAATTTTGGATCAAAGAACTATTAAATTCGTTGAAGTTAAATCCTTTAGGACAAAGCTCCAGTAATTTGTAAGTGAGAAACTAAATTTTGCAATTCCCTTAGAAACAATTTGCAACTGGTACTCTAAATTTTGGATCGAAGAACTATTAAATTCGTTAAAGAGTTAAATCCTTTAGGACAAAGCTCCAGTAATTTGCAAATGAGAAACCAAATTTTACAATTCCCTTAGAAATAATTTGCAACTGGTACTCCAAATTTTAGATCGAAGAACTATTAAATTTGTTGAAGTTAAATCCTTTAGGACAAAGCTCCAGCAACTTACAAGTGAGAAACCAAATTTTACAATTCCCTTAGAAATAATTTACAACTAGTACTCCAAATTTTGGATCGAAGAACTATTAAATTCGCTGAAGTTAAATCCTTTAGGACAAAGCTCCAGTAATTTGCAAGTGAGAAACCAAATTTTGCAATTCCCTTAGAAACAATTTGCAACTGGTACTCCAAATTTTAGATCAAAGAACTATTAAATTCGTTGAAGAGTTAACTCCTTTAGGACAAAGCTCCAGTTATTTGCAAGTGAGAAACCAAATTTTGCAATGCCCTTAGAAACAATTTACAACTGGTACTCCAAATTTTAGATCAAAGAACTATTAAATTCGTTGAAGAGTTAACTCCTTTAGGACAAAGCTCCAGTAATTTGCAAGTGAGAAACCAAAGTTTGTAATGTCCTTAAAAATAATTTACAACTCGTACTCCAAATTTTGAATCGAAGAACTATTAAATTCATTGAAGAGTTAAATCCTTTAGGACAAAGCTTCAGTAATTTGCAAGTGAGAAATCAAATTTTGCAATGCCCTTAGAAAAAATTTGCAACTGGTACTCTACATTTTAGAATGAAGAACTATTAAATTTGTTGGAGATTTAAATCCTTTAGGACAAAGCTCCAGTAATTTGTTAGTGAGAATCTAAATTTTGCAATGTCCTTAGAAACAATTTGCAACTACTACTCGGAATTTTGGATCGAAGAACTATTGAATTCGTAGAAGTATTTTGCAATTTAGACACCAAATTTTGCAAATTCCTTACGAAAAATTGGCAACTCGTACATGAAATCTTGGATCGTCGAACTAGAAGATATGAACTGTTCATGTAAGAAACATGTATTAATTCATCTAATGCATCTGCACATATCAGCTGCCCACATACATAAAGACATGAACTTGGATTTACAAATGAAGGGTTGCTATGTACTAAAAAAACCCCTAATACTACCAATATATATCTACATAAACCTATACATGTCAACCAAATCCAAGTTGATCTAGTCTCAGGTTATAGAAACATCAACTTGAATTTACAAAACAAGGGCTGCTATATGCCAAAAAAACCCCTAAAACAACCATTATGTTTATGTCACCTAAATCCAAGTTCATGTGGTAACACATTTACAATAACATCAACTTGGATTTGGATTTCTACACCTCTTCCTTGTATGACCTGCTTCATGGCAGCGAGAACAATGATAAACCTTCTTTTGTTGATGTTGAGACTCGATCCTCACATGATGAGGTCTGCCAGCTGGTCGAGATGTTCTAGGAGGCAGCAAAAAGGTTTGGTTCATGAGCTGAGACACTGTCAACGCATTTGGCTTTGGCATGTTATGGGTCTCAACAGGATGCATAATGCCACTGTATATTTTCTCTTGTGAGCTATGAAGATAACATTCCTCGACATAGCTATACACATTACCATGCACTTCTTTAATGGCTACACAAGCATATGGGCAAGGAATGCCAGACATTTGCCAAACTTTGCATGTGCATTCCCTTAGTATCAGATTCACACATATATCTCCACACGGTGTCCGAACCAAGGCAATATGTGAGCCATGCAGCTGAACTATCATAACTTCTGCCCTCAAAATATTTTCCTTCAACTTTGCTTCAACATTGGGACCAACTATGCTTTTCCACTTACTCATGGCTGCCTTACTTGCAAAAAATTTCTTGCTCAACTTGTCTCTATACTCATTTATAAGAACACATATATTATGCCTCCTCTCTTCAAGAATCCATGCATTGAATGATTCGGCCAAGTTGGTTGTTATTTTATCCCATCTTCGAAATGGGAACAATGATAGTGCCCACCGATCAACATCGCCTTAATTTTCAACCCATCTTGCTAATTGTGAAGAGAACATCCTCAAATTTTCCATGGCTATATGAAATTCGTGCTCATGCCTTGCGTAGGCAATGTAATCAAGCAACTTTAGTGCCTCTTCTTTGCTGTTCCTTCCCATTCCCCTACAAACTTTATTAAACTCAGAGCTAAAATTCTCCTTAACATGTCGATAGTAAAATGCATGTCTATCACCATCAAATATGGCTCTAACAGCACCAATAATAGCATTATTTCTATCAGAAACAATAGTTACCTGTAGCGAACCAAGGATATCTTTAATATTTTAAAGAAACCAAGTCCAATCATCATGAGTTTCACTCCCAACTATTGCAAAAGCTAATGGAAATAACTCATTATCGGCATCATATGTTGAAGCTGCCAGTAAGGTGCCTTGATAAGGACCACTAAGGAAACATCCATCCACATATAAAATAGGCCTAGCCCCAAGCAAGAATCCTTTAATGGAACAACCATATGCAATAAATAAACGTTCAAATCTATTGTTCTCAAAAGCCACCCATTTTGCTACAGTGTCAGTATCAATCTCCATTAGTCTATTACACAACCAAGGAACAAGCATATATGATTATGATTGGTCAGGAAGCCCATTTATTTCTACCAATGCCCTCTCTTTCGCTCTTAAAGCTTGACGATAAGTTAGACTTATGCCATAGTCTCTATATATGTCAGCTTTGATTTCATTGGGTCTTTTTTCCACATTAGACCTTACTATGTCATCAATTATAGACGAAGTCAGTGTGCACCTTGTACTGTAAGAAACTTCAAGGTCTTCTTAGGCAGAATGTAAGTGCTCATTCTTGAAAGTTGTTACATGAAGTAAGGGCATAGACTTCCTTAATGAATATACTGTTATCTTCCATTAACATCCTTTTGCCTTGCAAACTGAAATTATTTTATTTGTGTTGTTCTTCACAAATTTATATTCAAACCTGTATGCAATACTATACTTGTAGATTGCTCGTCTATAATCATCAGCACTCGCAAAAATCTGCCCAGGTCCTACTAGCAAATCCTTCCACTTTATTGCATTTAGCTCAGGCATTGGTGTTGGGATACTTTGTATTGCACATGGTAGAACTTCAAGATCTTGTGTAGCATGTGAATTCTCAGCTGAACATCCTACTCTGCATTTTCATTCAAATCATGTTTATTACTACCATCCATATTTATATTAGCATAATATTAATTATGCAACTATCAAAAAGACTTACCCATCAATTGAATCTCTTGTTGCCTCTGTACTTTGCTGTATCTTCCCAATTATGTACACATGAGCAAAATTATCATTCAATTTCATTAATTGATTTATCCCTTCATCATCTTTAAGGTCTAAAAGAGCATTGCAATCAAATTTTATTTTGTACTTCAACTCTATTCCATTTAAATCACAATTTAAGCATGATAAAATCAATCTAACAAGTCCTTCAAGAGACATTCCTTCTCTAATCATTCTTCCATTACAGCTCCCCCCATCATAACGCATTGTCCTATGCATATTTTTTACAATATCTCCACCAAAATGAAAATAACAAAAAATTTCCTTAACACAACTACTTTCCATCGTACCCAATAATATCAACCTACAAGAAATAAAATAAAATGTAATAATATATCACTTAGAAATAAGTTACTTTTGACATAAGTGATTTTCACATCAGTCAAACAGTGACAGCGTTCCATCTTAAAATATGGATACTCGATGATAATTTCTTACACTTTCAGTTACAAAATGTCAAATCTTCATGCCAAATATTTTATAACGTCAAATAAAAAAAATTCTTTCATGTTCAGTTGTAGAAAACCATTCCATCTTTTTCCTTACGAAAGCCATTTTGCAAGAAATTAGACCTTCATGGAGTAAACCTTTTTGTTTAGATGAAAGGATTTGCAAAAAAAAAAATACCTGTCTACACGCACCAGCACAAAACCTTAAGCTTTCTTGAGTCAATAATTAAGACAACTCCACCTTTTCCAAGCATAACTCTGTTTCAGGAATGGGTACTCTTCAACGTACAGCTCCACCTCTTACATGCACCTCTCATTAATGGCGGGAAAGAGACAAATCAGGAGGG